AGTGTGAGGGAAAATATCTTAGTAAAGATTAAAATACTTAGTAAGAAAACAATAATGAATTTAAATACATTAAAATTAAAAAAAAAACAACAACAAATAATAACGAAAACAAATCTAGACAAACGCTATAATAAAGTCGTCATTCAATGTTCTTTATATCTCAAAGATATCCTCAGACGAAATGAAATTCATTTCATGAATTATATATATCATGTAACAAGAACAAACAAAAACCTTAAACACTTCTTAATTACAAAGTTAGTGATTAAACTACAGTACGAAGAGCATGTCAAATTATCTATTAAGTGGGCTGATAACTTTTGATTTGTAATATAGGATGTAAGGTTTTGTAATTGTATTTCCAACTATTATGACACTCTATCCTTTTTCCAAAGTCGACTTTTTATATTAACAGTTTTCCTGGGATTAGTTTTTGAAGACATGAAACTAAGGAAGACGCATGAATGTGTCGAAATTAGCTTCTTTCATTCGAAGTATTTTGATAGTCTATTTCATTTACTGTTTTTCGTTTCGCTAAATCTCTAACTGTTACGAACGATATTGTGTTCTTTTATTTCTCAGCTAAATTCTCCTCTTATATCTATTCACACTACCGTATAGTTCTGACGTTTGACACCTATATTTCAACCCCTCCCCAACTTGTATGGTTTATATATTTTCATATATCATGAAATATTGTGTGAAGAAGTTTCACATTTATATACTAGTTCAAAAACTCAAAACTATGGATTTGGTATTATGGTAAATGGTGAGAAAATTCCATTGGTTTTGTTATTCATTTTATAATAGTACATATTTTTTTCAGAAATAAAACTGCAATACATCAAAGCATTCAAATAGAATCATAATCTACATAAAATGTTCTTATAGCTAGAGTGGCCAAAGATGCTATACTTTTTATAATAATCTTATTTGCTAATGTAAAATTCGCTCTGTGGACACAGCAGTTACCCTTCTGGACAAAATGTAAACGTCTGTCATTTTGTCTTTGTTAACCACAGTGATTTGAAACTGGTTTCAACAATTCCCCTTTGTCTGTGTATTTCTATGAGATACTACTTGAACGTCAGTTTGTTTTTCTAATTTAAGCATTAGTAAAGTGTTTGCCATCCTAAGAGATGCATATTCTAATAAACACTATCTGATATGGGTATTCATGGTGAGTGCTTTCAGTTAATCAGTAGTGCTTATGTTAATAGTGAATCAGTTAATCAGTAGTGCTTATGTTAATAGTGAATATGTCCTACAGTGAGTCAGTAAAAATATGAACTTACTGCTCTTCTATTGAATTTAATACAAGGAAAAATATTCTTCTATCAGTTTTCATTCTTAAATGAGCTCCGTGATTATTTAATTCTGGAAAGGATATATGTTACTGATGCTAATAATTAACCTCTAAAACTGAGTTTGAATCAACGATTGAACCACTTTATCACTAAAGTGAATGTGTATTTCTTTAACTGAAATGTACACGGATTTCTGTTTTTAACAACAAAGTTAATATTATAGCAGTATACACCTTAGTTTCTTATTATAATCATACCAAGAGTTATATTTATTTTGTACAACAGGTAAAATTCACATACCTTTTTTGTCAGTTGTCTGTCAAATTAAATACTCTAGTAAAGTCTTATTAGCCGCGACACATAGAACAGCCCCGATTATTATTTGTTTTTCAAGTACAAACTTTTAGCTCATAGATCCGTCATCGCTTGACCAATTTGAGATCTAATTACAGTTTTGGACTCAGGAAGTCAAACCCTTTCGATTGATTTATTTGGCCACGCTCAAGGTCTTATAGATTAATTTATTCTAATCCTGCCTAAAAGAATCTCAATTTGAGGGTAGGCTGGTAAATATCCTGATAAGTAAAGAAAATTGAATCGGGTATACGCGCGCCCCACGCTTGGTATTGCTGGCGAAAAAAAAGCTAATAAAAAGGATTTGTTTGTTTGTAATTAAGCACAAAGCTACACAATGGTATATCTATGCTCTGCCCACCACGGGTATCGAAACCCGGATTCTAGCGTTGTAAGTCAGCAGACATACTGCTGTGCCACTGGAGGGGCAATAAAAGGGGAAAAAATGTCTCATAGATTAATTTACTTTAATCCTGTCTAAGAGAATTCCAAGTGCCGCGGCTATTGAGGATTCCCTCTTGTTTTTAAAATGACACCAATATCAGCGTCGTGGTTACATATGTTCTGTTATACGGAACAGAGATAATGGAGTATCACGTACATCTGCTAGGTCTGATGTGATATTAAAATTCGGTTCTGTACATAACATGTTTACGTTACTTATTGATAAACAGAGTGATATAGGAAATACGGTTGTGCAACCGTGTCTCAAAATACTTTGATGATTTATCTTTCCTCAGTTCGGTTTTTTTTGTGTCAACAGATTTCTCGGGACTATTTTTTGGAAATAACTACATAATTCATATATTTATTTTAAAAAGTCTATCATTTAAGAAGAACAGGCGATACACAGAATACATTTACAAGATCAATAAACAAGCCAAATGAATAGTTAATATACAGGACATAAGATCTGTTGATCAAAGGTATAGTTAACTATATGTGTTGTCTATGGCGCATCTGAACTGAATAAATGGATGACATACAGGTTAAACTTGTATTTTTCTGCTGTAACGTACGGGATGTTGACTTTAAACGTGTGTTTGTGTGTGTATCCTTAACATTGTATTTTAAGTGCATTGTTGACATGTAGGAAATGGCTGTAGATCAAGCAAGCCATATATATAAGCTCTATATTCAAGACACGTAAATGAACCAGATGTAAAATATTTAGATTATATTATAGCTATACAATGATAGTATCAAACAGCTAATTGTGAGCTAGATTGCAAAATTCAAGCTCTATTTAGTGGATACGAAACCTTGAAAGTTCGCATATATTTGCATTCATTGTATATGAAAGATGTAGAAGTAGTTGTTTTTTAAAGAAATATATTCTTAGTCAATATACAATATAATTTATTTTATCCTCACATATTTTTATTAGTTTATGTTAAATTTGAATACCAAAATTATCAACACATATATTATTTTACGTAACAAGGACAAGTTATCATTTGCTATATAAACAAAAATGTTTGAAAAATGGCTACAACTTAAAACTGCAAAAAATGTGTAAGTGTAAATACCTTCAAGCCTTTTATGTTGTTTGTGTTTTCAATGACGTAAGCGGGTATGATAAAAAACACCTTAAAAATTAGAGTTAAACATTTAGACGTATTAGAGTAATTTCCGTGTTCTGGTTTAACTTAGCACTTTAATGTACATCAAGAAGTGTTGGAAAATATTGAAACATAAATTTGATAGCGATGTATTCATTAGTTAAGATAGAGTTTTTCCAAATAATGTTTCTTTATTAGATTTCGCGCAAAGCTACAAGCGATAGACTAAATGGGAAGTATCAACCATTGCAAACTCTTGGGCTACTGTTGTAAGATCGAATATTGGGATTTACTGTTATTACGCACCTGCACCCCCAAGTGTGGCAGTAACATGACATGTACCACGAAACTTCAGCTCTACAGATCTGTACTCTAACCAGAGGACCGTAATCGTTCTCTTCCAACTAAAGTGTCATTGAATTGAGTTCTTATTGATATTTAATTTCATAAAATACTACCAAAAATACACTAAAATATTTTATTGTTTGTTTTTTAAGCGCAAAGCTACACAATACACTATCAATGCTCTGTCCAACATGAGGAATCGAAGTCCGGATTTAGCGTTTTAGGTCCATTTATTTATCGTTGATCTATTAGGGGATAAAATCTTATTGAAAAGAAATATTTTATACACACTTTCCTGTTGTTCATTGTTGAAACAAAATGTGTTTGTTATATGTTCGTTTGTTAACTCAAGTTCAATTTTGTACTTTATTTTCGGCTCTACACATTTTATGCGAGCATCGCCATTTCAATATATGCAATATGCACTTAGTTTCATATGTAATATATTTCTGAAACAGTATTTGATACTTTAAACACGAAAGGCAACTTATACGACAAATGGGTTAAACTTCCAAGTTACAGATGTCAAAGTCCCATGTTTGTCCCTAATTTTGAACTACTGACCAGGAAGAGCAACCAGTCAGCAACACCGGCAATCAATCGAATAAAAGGATTTAGTGTCGTTTTCATAAATAATCCCACCAAGCGTGTTTATTAGCACATACTATTTTCGAACCTTGAACTTTCCGATCCACAGCTTGGAACGCTAACTACTTGTCCTCATTTTGAAGCAAGAAATTTAAACGTGAATATAAAATTAAGTTAATTAACTGAACGCTCATAGATTAACTTATTTTTCAATGTAGGCGATACGGTGTTTTCCACCGACATTACACATTCGTAGATATCATCTTAGAAAGAATATTTGGTCTGACTTTTGAAAATATCTATTCACTATGTTTGCTTTACGAAATCCACCAGTACTACAAACAAACTTCGGGCAAACAGTGATCGAGTCAACAAAAGTAATTTTTAACTAGACCCGTATCTTTGCTGTTTTTTTCGTTCTTAGGCACCTGGTATATAATCACTTTTTATTATTGAGAAACAGTATCGATAAGATAAAACAATGTCCAAATTATTTTGAAACAGAAGTAAATATTGTTATGTAATATTGTGTGATAACATTCAACTAGTTTGAAACAAAATAATCTTGGTGTTCTCGCAATACAATATGATGCAATGTTTATTAAGAAATCTTTCTGAAAAAAAATCAAATTTACAATGAATAGATAACGCTGAAGATTTGCCAAATTTACTATAAAAGGACGATAATTTTTCTAATACAATTATTGACTTAAAATAAGCTAGAAGCCAGAACAAGCAAGAGAAACTGTTGAAGTATTTAAAGGTAAGTTTTATATTCATATGCATTAGTTATTATAATATAGATTAGTTTGATATTATGTTAGGACTTTATAGTTGAAGATGAAATATTTGAGACTTTGAAGTGATCAAAACGAAAGCCCGCAAATGGAAAATGTGTCAGTTTTGTTCCTTAAACACACAGAGCATTCTTCTTTTTGCAAGATAAATGTTGTTTAGTTCCCTCTAGATATCAATTTCTATAATGTTTTTACAAAGCTGTAGCAATAGCTTAATGGCTTTTCAAAGAAGGCATAATTTACAGGAAAGTGATTATTACACAATACTAAGTCCCTGTCTCCTTGAAACTAAGTAGAAAATTATCTTTCTCAACCAGATATGCTATTTCACCTCCCTGTCATGGGAACATTTTGCGATTAGTTAATTCCAATCACAATAGAAAATGAATTTTTCTCATAGATAGGGAAGGAATCTAAATTGCCTGAACATTCACTACGATAAATGTTACTACAGATGTACCTGCTAATCTCTATTAAGGTTCTTTCATTAGGACTAAAAGCTACGTAATAATTACGTCCTTACTCTGGCCTGAAGTAAAGTTGCTATACTGTATTTGATCGTGTACTTAGGTTGGATAGGGAGTCGACTTTTGTGGTTTTTTTTATGTTCTCCAATTTATAGAAAACATAATTGTTCTCTGTATAAAGGATTTGGACGTCAGGAAGGATTAGAATTACTGCACTGTATTCTATTTTTACTCCAGTAAGGAATAAATATGCAGTGTCATGCTAGAATAAGGAGAGGAATCACTACTCTGTATTAGGTTTTTTTTTTTTGGTTAAGAATGGATCAGCAGCGCCATATTAGAATAAGGAGAGGAATCACTACTCTGTATTAGGTTTTCTTTCTGGTTAAGAATGGATCAGCAGCGCCATGTTAGAATAAGGAGAGGAATCACTACTCTGTATTAGGTTTTCTTTCTGGTTAAGAATGGATCAGCAGCGCCATGTTAGAATGAGGAGAGGAACTGCTGCTTCGTGTTGGGACTCTCGGTTTAGCAAGAAGTGGTGCTGTTATTCTGATTTAAATGTTCTCTCGCTATGTTTGAATTGAGTTTAGTCTATATTATGGTCTTAATACCAGTTGGAAATGTAACATACGCACAGTTTTATAATTAAGTCAGACTAATGACCCTTCAAGCTACATGTGTTAAATTATAAGGCATTGTTTTTCAACACATCACCTTTCATTTTTATTTTTTCCTATTTTAAACGTTGGACAGATGAAGACTGAACTTGTTGTCTATGTGCTGATTGTAATCTTTGTTGGAGCCACTCAAGGTAATCTTTTAAATATGGTCAATTATTTTAAAGTTATGTAAAGTTAATTAGTCAAAATATCTTTGTTCTGTTACTATAAGCAATAAAGTGTTTTGTTAATATCATACATGAGTAATGTGTTTGATAATTTTAATGGTTACCCCTTGCTATTAGACTTCGTTTTCAGTTATTTTGAAATGAACTACTTTTTCTCTGTCACCGCTTTGATGCTGGTCATTGCTAATGTGTTATTCAAGTTTAAATATTTAGATATACATGATAGACTATACTGAAATATTATAACCTAAAAGTTTCAAGTACAAACCATCGAACAAGCACAACTCATGCCAGTTAGAATAAACTATTTATATATTATCATTATAATTAATTTATTGCATAGCGTTATTTCCGTACTATCTAAAACTTGTATAGTTTACCTTTGTTACTAAAACTTTCGTAATGCTACGAAGATATCTTTTATATTTCCTGAAACTTTCATCTTCATCTTTACCCGATTCTTTATAATTTCATGGCATAGTGCTCAAATGGCTAATAATTGTATAAAGAATCTTAGAATTTGTTATGCTGGTGTGATATAATATATACATATAAGTTGTTTTTGTGAGACAGACGACTTGCTTTTGTATAAAATTATGTCTGTTATTAATAGACTACATTGTAGTCTAAAAGGGGAATGCATTTCTCATTTGAAAAAATGCTAGACGTTTTTATAAACAAAACCAAAAATCAAAATAATTTGTCGTTGCTTTTAAGCTGGGAAAGAACAGAAGTCATTGTAGTATTTTTATTCGAGTTTAGCCATTTATATGTGTTTATTTAAACCTACACATAAATTCCAACTTTTTTTTAGCACTGATCTCTTGTGGGAATGGATGGACATGTCCGGAAGGCCAAACTTGTTGCAGACACCCAAACGGTTTCTTCACGTGCTGTCCCCTTAGAAGTGGAGTATGTTGTTGTAATGGGAAAACTTGTTGTCCCTCACTCTCAGTGTGCAGTTCCAACTCAGCGTTTTGCTACTCTTGCCCCTCTTTTGCTGCTCTATTATTACCAGAAAAAAGTGGCGGGATTCCCGTAGCAACCACGACCAAGGCTATTTACAAAGAGGAACAAAATTAAGGATGATTTAATGTGGATATACTTTGGTTTTTCAATTCTACAACATATTGTTCGGGGTTATCTATAAAGTAACAAGAAAGATCAAATTTCTAAATCATATGAAGGGATTTACATATAATGAAATATTGCATTAATTCATTTTAATGCGTTAATCGTTACTTAGTATTTTCAGACTAGTTATATTAAAATTATACATCTTACAAATTAGAATGAATGTATTGGAGCATTTAATTGCAAAATAATAATAGCAACATAATTCTTAACTTTTTTCAACGTTAAATCAATAAATATATATATATTGTATATCTCTTAAGAACTGTTTGCAATTAGATGGGGCTTTAATTTCTGTTTCATGCAACAAGTTGTTTTAAAATATATATTTGTAAGATACAAATATCTATATATCTTGGTCAATTTATTGAAATCAACCATACTACAACGTCCATAAGAACGAACGTGTGTCTTTTATACTTCTTGAATTAACTTGTAAACTTTAGTCTATAAATTATGTGTTTATATATGAAGAGTAGAGTTGATACGAATAATACACTATTTAATTCGTGATTTGACTAACTGATATCAGTTTGTGGAAAACAAAGATTTAAAAACTGTGTATTAATATAAATATTTCGATGTGTTCTTTTAAAATAACTGCTGATACTGTATTACAAAATATTTCTAATAAACTGATATTTTCGAACAACAGATTCAAACAAGTTTGTATTTGTCTATACACTGAGTTTCAATTTAGATTGTTATTATGTGACTTATAGAAATTATACTCCTTACCGCAAAAAATCAACGATTCATTTCCATACCTTTATTCTGAACATATTGCAGTAACAATTAAAGGACAAACTATAAACTGAATACCGTAAGCAAAGTGTAATTGGTGGCGCTATCTGCTTACGAACATTACAGTTAAAATGTACATTTAAACCTAAAATTCTGTAAAAGTTTTAAAAGATAAGACGTATAGTTGTTTTTAGATTGTGCCGTGGAAGGAATTCAAAACAAAAGCATTATATTTTAAGATATTTATAAATATCAGTGGTTATCATAATGTAATAAAACACAATTAAATTGTTATGCTAATTTATTTTGGACTGATTTCTTATATCGCAATGCCATCTGGTACTTATCCTTGATAAGCTCAAAAAGAAATTTATAAGAAATACGACTTTATAGAATGAAAAAAACAAAAAAATCAATACGTATTATCTTCATATCATATAAAAGTAATTGTGAAATACCTATTACAAGTATGTTCTATGTAGCCTTAACCAGATTTCATGGTTGACAAAAAGTCAAACAAATATTTAATTTCTGCATATTTATTACAAAAAAATATTATATATGTTTACAAACATATTGTGTATCTGTTTCTTGTCCTTGGCGATAAGTTTAAAGAGAAAATGTAACAAATAATCTGTTGCAATTTTATTAGGTATGTGAGAATAAATTATAACAATAATTATATAACAGTTTTGACACCGTGAATCATTACAACAGTAGCGCTGACTTTGATCATTTTACACCCAAAACTTCATATAACCAGGTATTTCAAACATCAATCTATGTGATAAGTCTCATGGCTTTTTCCCTTATCTTGCTATAGAGAAGACAATAAATCCTTGACCTATTTATTCGTTTATTATAAAAAGTTGTTATGTTTTGATCATCTAAATACAAAGTTTGAGTATCTGTTAAATGTTAATGTCCGTGCTGTAAAGCCATGACCTTTCTATTTCACGAAATGTTAAAGCAACTCTATGTGATGATTCTTTTATTTTTTGCTTTTTTCTTTCTAAATACTCTATAAATAAAAACAATAAAGTCGATAATATTGGATGGATGAAAATAAATAAAGAATTCGCCTAACAAACTGAAATACACGGTATTTGATTAGTTTGATTTCTGTGGTAAGATCCCAAAATGCCTACAGATATTGTACTTGAAACTGTTGTTCACAAATGTACTAACTTTATAAAATGCGTCATAATTGTCAAAACAGTATTAGTAAGGATTTCATTCCAATTGAGTCTATAACACTAATGGTTGAACTAAACATTATCCTTGCTGTAGAATATTCCATGAAAAATCCTTTTCTTTATCTGCTTATGAGTATTTTGTTGTTGTTGTTGTTTTTGCTGTCAGAAAATAAAAGAACAACCTCTGAGTTTTGAAGGATTGTCTACTAAGTAGTGCTATTTCTACGGCTGAAAACAGAAGACATCCTTATCTTTAATTATATGACAGCAGGTCCAAAGTGAATGCCGTATATTTGTCTGCACAAACAGGATTTTTGCGGACAAATATATGGATGGCTTCTGTTTTCAGCCATAGAAATTGTAAGTAAATAATTTAAAGACACACAAAGATTTCACCCAGCCCAAAACCTTATTTTTCTTTTTTACTTTGTGCATTGTAAGAGGTAAAACAACAAACTAAGGTTTCCATGCATTGTTCCTGCCTCCAATAAAGAATGAGAAACAGAAAGAAAAATAATATAGTAACTCAAAAAATTTTAATTCAACACTATTTATACATTTATTACTGGAATCAAAAGCTTGATTTTTTTAAAGTGCAGTGATCAAGTCAGTTGAGATTATAATTGCCACATTATACGGAGTATTGAGTACGTTATATTGAAATGATTTTAGAACCTCACCACGTCGTTACAGTCCATGTCTATCAAAGTCTTGTGTATGGGCTTGGATTCTTTACAGTAGGTGTCTGTGACTTGTCGGCGATAAATTCGAACAATAAACGGACAGCATACAATCCACTTGTTTTAATATAATATATATTTAAAACAGGTCAAACGCATGTACAAAACTTATTTACACTATGCAATATCACAGTTGTATCTAAAACTTTAAGTAATCAAAAGTCCACACAGGCTGGTTCAGTTACTTTAGAACCCATGTGACAAAATGAATTATTTTTCTCTACTCAGTCTCTTATTATATTATCTGCGATAAATTCATGTTACCCTGTGGGTTACCACAGTTGTATCCAGAACTTTAAATTATTGTCTCCTTTTCTTCATACACCACACAGGCAGGTTCAATTACTTTAAAACACCCTTTGAGAAGACAAATTATTTATTATAAATTATCATCTCTGACAAACTGTGAAACTTTCTTTAAAATATCGCCTGTTACAGCTAAACTAACAATCACGCAGTCTAACTTCATTTTCATTAATATAACAGGGACGGATATGAACCTATTCACCTCCAATGATGTAGGATTTGGAGAATCATCAGCGTCAACAAATTTAACTCTAGCTCGATGGTGAACTGCGTGTTACAATCAAGCACGCATTACATGGTTAAGCAGAAAAAATAGAAATTTAAGTTTCAAAGTTTGAAATTTCTAAAAGAAAGGGTAAACTGAATTGCTCACTGATCAGAACAAAAATTATTTTCATGACCAACACTATGGAATAAGTCAAAAATGAAGAAAGCACTGATGTCAGAACTGGTAATATTATACGTTAAAAGGTTTAGGTTTCAGTATAGTATATTTCATCTATTCACTGATTTGTTTCAAACTTTAATGTATAGTTGAATACAAAGATTTCACACACATTACCTAAAAGAGTGTACAGTCTTCTATAGATGTACTTTCATTCTTCACTAAACTAAACCTTTCATTTACATGCGTACTAACGTGTTGTGGTTGAGTGCAATTCGTAGATAGTGTGATGCCATCGAAAATTGATCACTTTTGACAATGGTATGTAACAGACCTTTCCGATGCAAAATATTCATACACTCAGAACATAAAGACGTTTTTAGATTAGGGATTCAGAATTCCCAAGACTCCTTAAACTTAATGATATTGGAAAACAAAGAAATATAGATTAATTTGGGGCTATCAGAACCACCCAGAAAAGGACTTGCAACAAGTCGTACCCAAAGCTATGGTAAGCAAAGTGTAGCGTCTTACGGTAGGTGCGGATCCAGGAACACAAAAGTTAGTAGCATAAGTCATTCACATGGCCTAGGCAACAGTGTGCAACATAACAAAGAAAGATCTACATCTGGAAATGAGCCAACAGAGTAGGGTTTCAACAAGATAAGATTTTCAGTCATACCTCCCATCCAACCGTTTTTATACCTCATACAGTTGGAGAATGAAACAAGTATTCATGTTGTCTATATACATAAAGCACAAAAATCTGTGTGTTTGTCCGTTACCTAATTACTCCTAGATCACCTCCAGTGTTCTAATTGAAGAAAAAAAAAACGTGCTAGACGCAAGAAAACACATGTGTGAACGTTGCTCTCGCTGTAGGAGCAACCATCTGACTCGAAGATTATATACAAAGTGACACAAGACATCTGAAAACTGGCAAAGTAAAAGAATTATCTGTAACTCCAGGCTAAATTCGGAGAGCTTACAGGTATGTTAATATATCGCCTGAATAAGTGTACATCTCTAAATTTAAACGGTAAATGGATCAAGCAACGTAAGGCTTACCAAGTAGAAGGCAATTTGATAAATTTCCCTCTTAGGTGACAGTTAAAAATAAATACTGGTCCTGGCAACAATATTTCATCTAGGTCATTTGTTGCGGCATAAGATGGACCAGGACTTTTTTGGAACAGTAGTCAAGAACTCTGGATATTTATGTGTTTGTCGGGAAGGTAGTAACAGTGGAGAAGTTGTACTCCTTCTGCTCACCTTGATGCTCTATATTAACTTCTGAAGTTGTGGCTGCCTACCATACTAGCAAAGGTTTGTTTCCCAGAGCTTTTATGAGTTCTTCCGAGCATGTTCCAGAAAAATTTCTTTGCTTTGAATATGTGATGATCCCACTGGTGGTGAATGTAGATGTTGTTACAATGCCATTTGGTATCATGACACTCTCCGACAGGGTTCAAAGTAGAATGACTGGGGTTATTTCTCTTTTTTCTTCCTACTCACCCAGGCTATACAGAGTTGTACTCAATTGGGCCAACTGCAATGACTGTGTAACCAGTAAATTCGCTTTTTTCTGGAAGTGTTTTTGTTGTTGGTGCTGACACTGGAGGAATTGAAGGCTTAGCTGACACTTCAAGCTCAACATGTTGATCCCTAGATCCCAAGGACAGGTCATTCATATCCTCCAAAAGAGCTTGCACATCAGAAGTCACCACAAGTCGTAGATCTTTATCATTAAGCTCTTCTTCAGCTCCTGGCAGACTTAAGTCCCCTCCCTTAACAAAGGTTCACGGGCATACTCGAGTACGCCATGCTTTCCCTTGTTATGACTCATAAGCTACTATTAGCAATTCCACCTTCTATAGAAAATTTCAAATTGCTTATGAATGTATAAATTCTAAAAAATTAAACAGATTATTCACGAAATCAATGAAAACATTGGATAGAACCATGTTTGTTCCTTAGTCTAGAATAAGCCAACCAATTACTTCGATCTTCCAGAGAAAACCCACGAGCTCCAAGTACTTCACTTAAAAGCCAAACATATCTAACAAACATCAATGAAAATATTGGGTACATCACATTTCCCTTTGAAGTGGTATTAGCAAACATTAACAGATCTGCTTCATATTTAAATTTCTTAATATTCTGACACTCATCGTCTGGTGGTTGTATGCTCTATGTTGCCTGGATGAAAAAACTTGCAGAAGATGGTTTGCAAATTTCAGAAGTGGAAATTTCAGCCTTGAAGATGAAGACCGAACAGGACGTCC